ATCCTCTTGTCTGTTTACCTTTTATCTTTTACCTCTAATCTTTTCTGTGTTTTTTTCTCTTTTTTTCCTCATTTCCTGTATCTTTCCTCCTTTTTTCCTTCTTTTTGTTTTCTTCCTTTTTTCATTTTCCTTTTCTTTTCCCTTCTTTTCCTTTTCTATTTTGCCTCCTATTAAACTGTTCACTTTTCCATCTTTAATTTTTTTCCCACTTTTCTTCCCCCCTTTCCCTCCACTTTTCTTTTCATTTCTCCCCTTTTTACATTCCTTCCCCTTTTCTTTCTCTTTTCCTTCTTTTCCTCTTCCCCTTTTTGCATTCCTTCCCCTTTTCTTTCTCTTTTCCTTCTTTTCTTCTTCCCCTTTTTACATTCCTTCCCCTTTTCTTCCCCTTTTCTTCCCCTTTTCCTTTATTTACTTTCCCCTTTTCTATTTTCTCTTCTTTTCCTTTTCCCCCAAGAAAATTTTGATGAGAAATATACTTAGAATATTTAGGATTCTTCCTGGCTCTGTATTTGCAGAACACCATTTTGGTCTGATTCTACTCAAACAACCTAATAACAATCATAGAGGCTAGGATTTTTCAAACTTTGGCAACATTTTCTCTCAGTTCTTAGTTTAAATTTTTTTTCTTTCAACTGTAACCATCTTAAAGAGCTACCAAATTAAAACTTCACCTGCTTATCCATTTTGACAGACCAACGAAAATGATTTAATAAGAATTCAATAACACCTCTAACCCACTAATCATACATCTCTTGTAGCTCTACAACGGAGATTCCCAAATTGGGTGGTACCATTCACCATAGGAGTAGGGGAAAGATACAGAAAGGCAGTGAAGAAAATTGTAGCAGTAGAAAACGCTTAGAAAAAAGTGGGTAGTAGGGGGCATCATTATTTTTTTATTAATCATTTCACCCCAAGCAAGGTGATAATGCCACTAAGACGCAAATGGTTACTGGGAGAGAATGAAAAAAGACAATAAAAGAACAGGATTCAGGAAGACAGAAGATGGCGATTGGCATTACATTTAAATTTTTGAAGATTATAGATGGCAGGGCAGCAAGAAACCGGAAGAAAGTTCCACAGGTGAGAAGTGCGAGAAAAGAAACTATTAAAAAAGAACTTACTGTTACATTTTGCTGTTTCAAAAATAAAGTGATTTTTCCAAGCATAGGTTAGATGTGGCACAAGGCTGAAAGCAGTGGGCACCCAGTGAGGATCGAACTCATTACAGAGTCATAATTGTTCTAGCAAGACAAGCTTGCTAAACATTGCACCTTGTCGAATTGCCCTTGAATGATTTTCAAAGCGTAACTTAGATGTGGCACAAGGCTGAAAACAGTGGGCACCCAGTGAGGATCGAACTCACTACTTAGTCATAATTGTACTAGCAAGACAAGCTTGTTAACCATTACACCTCCCCGAGGTGCCCCTATTTCAACAGTAAAACAATAAGACCTAGTTGCCAATCTAATAGAATGCTTAAATTCAGGCAGTTGAGGTACCAATGAAGGACACATGGCACAGTGGATAAAGGTGTTAGTTAGATCCAGTGACAGGAACCAATACCTGGTAAAAGCGGTGGAGAACTTGGAGAGGGGAATTAATGGGAGATAACTGATAACTGACATCCATTAGACATGGCATGTGGAACTAGAACAGTCTACCCCAGTGAATGAAATAAAGGGTTCAGTTCGACATTCCAACCACCTGAAGATGGCTGGAGCGCACAATGACCAAAACGTTGTGATAAATATGGCAACAAAGATGAGGACAATAGTCTGAATAATGTAAATAGTGTACATAATACCTCATCTCAGAAATATAGACAATTAAGAAAGCTCATCATAACAATTGCCATGAAAATATTTGTAGAAAAGATAGAGAGAAGCCACATTACGTCATTTGGATTGTGTCTGTCGTTGAGATGCCATATGAGGATTGATAACATTACAAACCCTTTGGATTTTATCAAAAGAATCTCAAGATATATAATAAGAGCATCAGATTGATTTCAATCAAATGATTTTTTTAAAAATCACTGATTTAAATCAATTCTACAAAAATCTAAATAAAAGATTTACAAATTGTAATGAATAACCCGAAGTGAATAAACTTAGGAAAACTTTATTCAACTTAATACAGCTACCAATATTTAGCTATCCCCCCACGAGGATCGAATGTGGCACAAGGCCGAGTTTAATGCAGGCAAAAATATAGCCTTCGACTCGCCTAGGCGGGTTTGAGAGCTGTCATAACCTCCCCGAACGAAACCTTACCCTTCGGCAAAGCTTCGTCCGAGTTCCTCTCTGCTAATGCAGAGAGTTTGACAGATGGCGTGGACTGTAACTTAATACAGCTACCAATATTTAACTGCACCCCCCACGTGGGGTTGCATGTGGCACAAGGCCGAGTTTTACGTGGTCACCCGAGTCTGTAGGCCCGACCAAAAATATAGCCTTCGACCCGCCTAGGTGGGTTTGAGAGCTGTCATAACTTCCCCGAACGAAACCTTGCCCTTCGGCAAAGCTTCATCCGGGTTCCTCTTTGCTAATGCAGAGAGTTTGACAGACGGCGTAGACTGTAACTTAATACAGCTACCAAAAGAAAAGAATTAAGCTAGCTTATTTATAAGCATTTCTGGAGTCTGTCCACTTTCACCAAACAGGGGGAGCAGGTTGTGGGAATTACTTACAACACAAATAAAGCACAATATTTTTATTTTCATGTAATTTCATGAAAGAAGAAAATTGTTAGATGTATTGAATCAAATTTTTTTTTTTTCTTACTGTAAAATAAAATTTTAACCTCTAAGAAATTTTAAAATTCAACATGAGCACTGTCTGTATTCATGGATTTAAATCAAAAGATCACTTTTGCTGCTCTATCTGTACAAAGACAGTTTCTCAGTTTGGAATGCACCAATCCATAGTAGGAGAAAACTCGATCATTGCTGACAAGTATTGCTTAACCGCAAGGATATATCAAGACAAGCTTCACTAAATATTGCTTCAGCATGACAAAGGCAACTGTCAAATTGGGCCTCAAAATTTAAACATGGTTTTTATATAATGCTGCATAAAGGGCTTGTGTCAAAACTCAAAATTAATGTCATACTGATCAGGGTTGTTCAATTTTAATCAAACTGATTTAAATCCATTTTACCAAAAGGAAAAGTTTCAGAAATAAAACAATTTTTTTTTTTTATTAACACTATTTATATTGTTCGGACTGTTGTCTTGATGTTCATACTCATGTTTCGAGCATTGTCTGCTCTGGCCATCTTCAGTTTTTTTTTTTTTTTCATGTAACTTCATGAAGGGAGAAAAGTTTCAAACAGATTGACTCAAATATTTATTAATCAATTGAATAATTTTTTTTTTTTTGTGACTATAAAATGAAATTTTAACCATTTAACAAATTTTAAAATTCAACATGAGCACTGTCTGGATTCATAGATTTAAATAGAAAGATCAGTTTTGCCGCTTTATCTGTACCAAGAAGGTTTCTCTGTTTGGAATACGCCAGTCCATACTATGAGAAAATGAGGCCACTGTTGGCAGGAGTTGCTTAACCACAGAAAGTATATCACTGCTCAAGACATTTTTAAATTTAAAAAAACCATACAGACATCTAAGTTTAAAAAAACAACACTCACTGGCTGTTGATAGCAAACTACTCATAAAAAAAATTACCAGATTATTTATGTACAAATCAATCCTAAATAGCTGATGATCACTATGTCACATTGTCTGCTCTGGCCATCTTCAGTATTTTTTGTTTTATTAACACTATTTACGTTGTTCAGACTGTTGTCCTGATCTTCATACTCATGTTTTGGACATTGTCTGCTCTGGCCATCTTCAGTATTTTTTGTTTTATTAACACTATTTACGTTGTTCAGACTGTTGTCCTGATCTTCATACTCATGTTTTGGACATTGTCTGCTCTGGCCATCTTCAGTATTTTTTTTTTTATTAACACTATTTACGTTGTTCAGACTGTTGTCCTGATCTTCATACTCATGTTTTGGACATTGTCTGCTCTGGCCATCTTCAGTATTTTTTTTTTTTATTAACACTATTTACGTTGTTCAGACTGTTGTCCTGATCTTCATACTCATGTTTTGGACATTGTCTGCTCTGGCCATCTTCAGTATTTTTTTTTTTATTAACACTATTTACGTTGTTCAGACTGTTGTCCTGATCTTCATACTCATGTTTTGGACATTGTCTGCTCTGGCCATCTTCAGTATTTTTTTTTTTATTAACACTATTTACGTTGTTCAGACTGTTGTCCTGATCTTCGTACTCATGTTTCGGACATTGTCTGCTCTGGCCATCTTCAGTATTTTTTTTTTATTAACACTATTTACGTTGTTCAGACTGTTGTCCTGATCTTCATACTCATGTTTTGGACATTGTCTGCTCTGGCCATCTTCAGTATTTTTTTTTTTTATTAACACTATTTACGTTGTTCAGACTGTTGTCCTGATCTTCATACTCATGTTTCTTCATACTAAATAGCTGATGATCACTATGTCAACTTGTTAAGTTATTTTTTATTTTTTTTTTTAAAATGAAGTTCATCCTATATGTACAAGGCCCAGGAACCACTCAAGGTAGAGGGTTGCAGAGTAAGCAGCACAGTTTATGTGGATCTGTGGGGAAGACAACAGTTAATCCTAGGCTGTAAAAATAAAATAGTTGTATGATCTTATCTGAAAAAAAACAACAACAATAGCAAAAGTAAGACTGTAAGTTGAATGTAGATGGATCTAAAACCTTAGAAAATGGTAAAAACTTAAAATATAGATTTTTATTGACTAAATTACGAAAAGGTTAGCCAGATATGACCAAAAATTGTTAATTTTCCAATCATAAATTATTGTATTGTCTTAATCTATCAATTTTTTCATATCAACTTTGATCTTTCTTTTGCTTTCTTGATGGGCAAAAATAAAATAAAAAAATCTGATTTTTTTATTTTTTAAATCCCGAAAATGCTGCAGTACCAGGCCAAGTTGAAGAAAGCGCCTAAAACTTCCGCTTAGTTCCAAAAATCAGTTTAATATTGCAGTTCCTAAATAAGGGACCTATCAGTTATTAAGGTGATAAGAACAGATACTACACTTTAATCACTTCCATAAGGCCTTGAAGGAGCTTGCTCCAACTTTGATATGGATTGGCCTCCAGGAATCAGTCCAGACTCCCACAGCAGGCAAATAAAAATTTAATAAAATAGTTGTATGACTTTTATCTGAAAAAAAAAAAAAAAAAGAAAGTTGAATGTAGATGCACCAAGAACTTAAAAAAAAATGGTAAAAAATAAATTTAGATTTTTAGTGACTAAACTGGGAAAAGTCAACCAGAGATAACCAAAAATTGTTAATTTGGCCGACCTAAATTATCCTATCTTAATCTCTCGAGATATTTGTATCAATTTTGATGAGCTAAAATTTTTAAAATTAGGATTTGTTAAAAATTAAAAAAAAAAAAAAATCAACAACCCTTTTTATTACTTACCCTGTTTTTCCTGAGTCTAAGCCTGGACTACCCAGTTCAAGGATTGAAC